ACAAAACAACCAAAAACACTGTAGGTTTTATGCACCCCTATTTTATTTCAAACTGGCTGCATCTAGGCCTACCTGACCTTATTTTATTTAAAACTGGCTGCATCTACGCCTACCTGACGTCATGCTGTAGCACATTAACACAGGCAGAGTTATTTTTAAGTTTAGGGTAAAGCCAATTCAACCAATCAGTGAATTGGGATTTGCATAATTCGCCATAGACATAGCCACTGCGATTTTATTTTCTATTTTCACAGTGGTAATTGCCAGTTTCTTGGAAATTTAGCAACAATGGAATTGAGAGCAAATGTTTGAAAGATATTTACGGTTTAGCTTGTGCAATATTTATCTCTGGTAGGGTTTCTGTTTGTATGTAAATGCAAATTTCCAGCATACATTTTTGTAATTTTGGTCAAAAAAATTTTGATTTGATAACCACAGGGTGGCTACCACCAGTCAAGCTGAACCAAGCAGGTATAGATACAGTATAAGAAGCAGATGGTCATTGACTACATCTTTAGCTTTTAAAATGTGTGACAAGGAATCTGACAATTTTCAGTGGAGGCAAACAGGTTGCAGAGACAAAACCAAATGGGATCCACAAAATGAGCACTTTTGAGCTCTTTCAATACATTTTAAAACATATAATGCCCACTGAAGAACACAAGCAATATTTTTCTTTTTTGGTTCGGTTTTTTGGTTCCTGGTGAGCCCACAAGATCTTGGCCTTATATATGATAGGCTGGTGTTACCACTGCTGGGATCAGTACTCACATATACTACTGCATACAGTGAATTGGCACAGACCAATAATACTGTACATTTAATGTCACAATTCCAACCACTGGCTCCTTTATACTCTGGCATGGAAAGAGACACAAACAATGTACCTAATGTGCCTTGTTATAAGTACGCAAGCAAAATGCACAAGGTTGGATTCATGCCTGCTCTAAGTTTAGAGTCTGAACCGCTGTGTCAATTGCCGCCTCTGGTATACGTCTGTTTGATAACATATCTTTGCTAGTATAATTATCAAACAATGCATTACAAACTCTCCATTCCACGAAGCCAAGCAATTTCATTTTACAATACCGAATTTAGAAATAACTGAAACCACGCACAAAGTGCTGTGTGTTTTCACTAATTAATTTCAATGAATTGTAATTAGGAATTTACTATCCCAATTTACTATCCCAGTCGATTAGTCTATACGGATTCTGTGGAATTGCATGGAAAAAAAGCTATGTAATACCAAGTAACAATAATAATAAAAATTGGGGATATTTTATGGTTAAAAATATTTTTCTACCCAAGAGATGTTCAAGGACGTAACCACCCATTTTCCCCCAAGTTCCTAAATATTCAAAATCTGTATCTCATTAACCATTTCTAAGTTTTTCATCTAACACCTTTTTTTCCGTCCTAGAAAAATCAGTTGTACAACATATCAAAAATATTTTTTCGTCAGGTGCTTGGCTTGTAGGCTAAAAATGAATTAAAAAAAATTTAATATTAATATTCCTCAATATGCATACTGTAACTTAACACTTTATTTACCATAAGTAATGAAAGCATGATATACAATAGCAATTCATATTTAGGTTCACATTAAGTTCACATAGACATAATGTCTACACATGATAATGGAACACAGTTATTATCTTTAATAGAGGGAGCATTCCATTTTGGGATTCCAGATTGTGATAATAGAAGAACTTATATCAGCTCATATTTAGCAACCAATACAACCAAAATCTTAATGAGTTTGTAGAGAAATGCAATTATACATGGATTTTGCTTATCTACTCGTCACTAAATAAAAGTTGAACTTAAAGTGAAAGAAACAGTTAGAATAATAAATGATCAAATGAGTGCATAATGCGTTTATAAAATTATCGGGGGCTTTAATGCAATGCTTATCAAAGAGCGGCGCTTACTACAAATTAGATAAAAAAGCCCTTTACATACATTTTATAGAGCACATTGATACAAATATTGAAAAGTTACCACACACCACTTCATCACATCTACCCCCTCCATGAATATGAATAAATGAATAAATAAGAAATAAAAAAATAAATAAATAAATAAAATAATAATAATAATAATAATGGAATAAGAGTAATGATAAACAATAAAGAACAATTAATTTACTAGAAACTAAACTCGCGCGGGAGGAATAAAGTAAACGACAAATATTTAATATAGTAATATAGTCACTTAATTTTTCAAAAGACATTAATTTCAAAGTGTCTAGTCTTCCCACATAAGATTGTTCCTGAGGTTTTTGCTGAAGAGTATATCAAGTAGCCTTGCGTTGAATATTTTCAATTTGTGCTTTATGACCTACTCGATAAGGATACCAAACATGATTACAATAATGAATATGTGGAAGAACACCCAAAAGCAATAGAACGAATAAACCCCAAAATACGATATCATTTGGAAGTAACCTCATTAACTTGATGTCCCCAGGAAAGATTATAGGAAATAAATACCCCAAGAATTTTAAGATGATCGGGATTCGACAAAACATGCCCATCAAGGACATACGAAGGACGCACCTGATTCCTCATACGTGTAAGACTAATAACAGAACATTTTTTAGGGTTTAAAGCTAATAAATTAATTTTATTAGCTTAAATGTATCGCATCATATAATTGTTGCTAGGCCTATCTGTTATTGCTCTTTCTTACATGATTTTACATGTGCGTGTGAAAACAATTGATCTCAGTAGGAATAACTCAGAGATTAGCTATGCTACAACTTTTTAAAACTTGTTACATTTGCTACTATGTATGAATTGGGTATAAGTTACAATGTTTGTGTTATTTTAGTCCATAAGAAATTGTTAGCTAAGAGCACTAAGTCTACATACGATAACAAAAATCAAGACATTTTTGGCAGATGAGCTCCTCTGAGAAATGGCGAAGCCACGCTTAGTATTACTTTCTTGGTATGTTTTTTTTATGTTTATGTTAAACGCATAGAGGTTTCCATAATATGCGCTCTATAAGTCGACCATTGTCAGTATGTATGTTCCACAAATGTTAGTTTCAAAATTGAATATCTCTAATAAGCACCACAAAACCTATTGGTGTTTAGTGGGGAAAAAAATTGTTTAAGAGTGGTGCTTAGGCCCTATAAAAAATATTATTAGTTTATCATCCTATCGTGGGGGGGGGGGGGGGGGGGGGTTTGGTTTGACCGGTTTGAATGAAAAGAACCCCTCCTTTCATAAATGCCCTTATAAATTATCAGCAAAAATTGCCTTTTGCATGGAAGTTGTTTAAATAACTCAAAACATTTGAAATTTTGTGTCTATTAATTGGAGTGCCATTTCCGGACATCTGAGGTGTTTTATCCTTAAAATCTTTCCCAACCATAGTGAGGATCAGGTGAGCATGGACTTACAAAGTGCCCTTTTGTGGAAAAAATAGAATCCCCTTTAGAAATCCTTCCTACAGGCTTGACTTTTTGATCCCAAAAATGTCTTCTTAATAGGGGTTGTACTGTACATGTTTCCATTTAAGGGTGGCATTTTATAATGTGGGTTATATGGTCGTATACCTAGGTTCGTTGATTAGATGTTAATAATAGTGTTTCCAGTGTCTGCTGTACACAGTACTCTTTGGGTAATGTTGGGAGGTGGAAAGAACTGAATTACTAACGTTAGTTACGCACATTATGGTTTCTGTCCTCAAGAGGGCAGTAGTGACAAACAGTAAATGACACTACAAACTATAATAAACTTATAATGGGCGGATGAGCTCCTCAGAGTCAACAACCAGCATCCTTAGTTTAAGCAGAACATTAAGGATGTTTACATTTTTTTTTATTTGGAAAAAAAGAAATGTTTCCATGAAATATAAGGTACCTCAGACGATCTGTGATCCACAAGGCAATAAAACATGGTTTTATAATACATGGTTTTAATATTAATCATAGGGGAATGTTCAGTCATTATAATAATGGCCCTAAAGCTGGGCATATACTATGTCCTACAATGATGATTATGACCCACAGCCAACAAATCTATCTCCTCTCTCTCTGCGAAGCCGTCTACTGATTGCCGATGGTAAACAAAGCTGATTGTCATCTGCATCCCTTGTTGTAACATGGGATTGTATTGGCCAACAACTGTTGGCACAATGTGTTGTCAACAGTGATAACTGTATAGTGAATGTCAAGGTCCTTATTTAAGGTCACTACTAGTCCTAGAGAATATTGTATGTTCAGACTTGTGCCAAAAGTTTTGTGCTTGGCCATTTAGACATGTTGGTTCAGCCAGCTTTGTCGTAGAGAGAGAACTAAACGAAAGCTATAACACCGCAAGACCAAAACATTGAAACACTCGAGGTCACAGTGATAACCTGTCGCTTTTAAGGTCTGGCAAAAAATGTTAACTCGGGCATCGTGATTGGATTACTAGCCTGGGTTAAGGGGTAAATTAACGTCTGGTTTACGATAACTCAACTAAGATACAGTATGCGCCTCATGCAACTCCCAAGTTTAAACTTAGCCGCAGCATGAAGTTCCATCTGCAAAGACTCCATAAAAAGATGGGGAATCCACAGACAAAGCCTCTTTAGTGTTCTTAAATCCCTTGGTCTTACAGATGTAAGACCACATTTTTATAGTCACAAACAACGGATTATTGTAAATCCAAAACACTATTCCATAAACACAATAATAAATCAACTTTAAATGTCAAACAATTAATTTTTTTTATATTACAAAAAACATTCAATTTTTCAATAGCATGTTAATCAATTATAATGAACTTTTAACAACATTTATTGTAAATAAAAACTATGAAAATAAATATGGAATCTACTTTACTAAGGCAAGACTTTTTTTATACCTTGTTACGCAAGCTTATTCAGGTTCACTAAGCTATAAAAAAAAGTCTCATCTAACTGATCTGTTATCCATTGATTGATTGTCTGATTACTTCATTGGTCAGTTGATTCAACTTCATAAATAAATACAATCTGCTTACCCGTGCACTTATTCCTTTCCTGATGTCATTTACTTGTGATAAGTCAAGAACTTGCCCTTCCTTGGAATAATAAAAAAAGATAAATTGTTAATGATTTTTAAGGCAGAAAAAAACACCTCTTGTAATATATGTGATGTAATAATAATGATAATAAAAAAATAACAATAATAATAATAATAATAAAAATAATAATAATAATAATAATAATAATAATAATAAAAAGCTCAAGAAAATAAATTATTTCAACTGAGGGCTAACCTAGAATCCAGATATTACCTTATTACATGCATCCCCCCACAATCATACATGATCGTGGCACCACTGCTTATTCGTTTAACAGTGGTAGTAATTTTCTGTTTTTAAACTACAATTGTCAAACAAATGAAAGCTTATTCAAGGTTTATAAGCCCAAATTGTACATTTGCGATTTATTGGGAGTTTGCAATGTTATGTTGTAGCTTCTTCGATAATTTCATTGATTTTGAGACGTTTTTTGAAAGCTGACTTCTGCATGAACCGATAGACCACCCGCAGATACAATACCGGTAAGAACCCAATGTAACTGTTTTCCCGTTCTCTCCCGATCACACTCAAGTACTGGTCTCCCATGAAGTCCAGATTCAACATAAAACAAGTAACAAAGTAAATACATATAAAAAATCAATCAAGGAGGTTACTTAATATTATTTTAAATATATTTAATGTAATGGTGTCAAATTTACAGTGGATATCTATTGGGAGCTCATTCCATAATTTACATGCCCTGTAAAGAGGTTCTTTTTCTTTGTATATTGTTTAAGACTGGGATGATTAGTGTATTAGAAGATTGATTTTGTGTATTTTTGGAATGTACAGTATTAGAAAATTTAAATTTTGAAGAAATATATTCAGGAGTCATGGATTTTAAAGATTTAAAAGTCATAATTAAAATATGATTATCCCATTAATATCTTTAACCATTTTTCAATCCATTGCACCAAAGTCTAACTCCTAAACTTTGAACTTTACACGTTTGATTAATCGCCAAAGAGAATTTCCTTGATAGGGAGAGATTTGGAAAACTTTAAAATTTAATGATTCCTGTTTTGGATTCATTCAAACTAAGAAACTTTAAAGACGCCCGAAAGCGTATGCTTTCAATACAATATGGTATTTTTGTAATAGCAACAGCTCTATCTGCATTTGTGATCATAGATACATATGGTACAGAAATATTTCTTCATCGTTTAATATAAAATGATTCCCTCTTTCCACACATACAATCCCTCTAGTGTAATATACTTGCTCATCATTCTTGCTTCCCACGCACCTACTGTACATAAACATCTAAAGATATTAACCCCTCATTCTCCCACATACAGTTCCACAAAATGGCAAATGTTGAAACAAGAATTTTTGTTCAAAACACTTTAAACCAGAGTATCAAAAGATTGCAGTAGGTTATCGAAGTGAAAGAAGTGTATGTGTGTGTGTGTGGCATTCGTCAGTCAGTCTATAATTGAAAATACATAATCTATGATTAACAATAAGAAATGATGATTGAGTAATTAACATTCTATCATTATTTGCCACATAGCCAATAAACCAGTATATTTAAAGATTGCAATACATTTAATGAAGTGAAATGTATGCGTGGTATTTGTTATAGTCCAATAGATATACATAATCTAATATCTCTATTCAACATTACCTGATGCCAATGATTCCTTACTTGTATGGCAATTCAAATTGAAGGTTTTGTTGTACTACTGTACTGTTTGTAATTTTAATTTCTTTCCTTTTGTTTGACTAATTTACCTGTTTAAACTTTTGTTTTATTTTACAGTATTTTATTTAATTGTATCTCATTTAATTGGTCTATATACTTTATCTGCAAACCATATATTATACTATCCCATTATGAACATAGTTATGTATTCATTTATTTTACTTATTGTAAGTTACCTTCAATAACCATTTCTGTCACACTGTAACCACAGGCCCTTAATTCAAACTTTATGTTGTTCCTTGTGTTTTGAATTTGATTTAATTTTTTTTTTCCGTATGGATGCACCATCATGTATTGTCTGATGTGTGCCACTGATGCAAAAGTGAATCCAATAAATATTATTAATATTATTATCTATGATTAATAATAAGAAATGATGATTGACATTTTATCATTAAATACATTGCCACATTGACAATAAACCAGTATATTTAAAGATTGCAATAAATTTAATGTAGTGAAAAAAGTATTTATGTGTGGATTTTGTTAGTCATAGTCCAATAAATACATTATCAACGATCAATAAGAAATAATTGATTGATTAATTAACATTCTATATCGTTAAATGTACATTTGCCACATTGCCAATCATTAAAAATGCTAAAAATAGCCACAAAAGTGGCAAATGTTCATCCTGTTTAAGTCTGGTTTCTTTGCTCCTAAATTATTATAAATCATAAATCAATGGTATTTACATATTTGTGGAAAATTAGTAATGAATATTTGAGGAATCTCACATTGGGATTCGAACCCAGGATTATCCGATTTCCGTTTGAATACTCTGCCATCTGAGCTATAAGGCCAAGTGGTATACACCTGTAGATTTTCTCATTAGGACACATTTCTATTTCTCAAGGTATTATGTAATACGCAATGAATAATAGGAAAAAATCACATGATGGTAACTTTGGTATGGAGATACACCTCCACTGGTAGTAATAAAAGATAATCATCTTTAATTACCATCAGTGGCGGCGTATCTCTATACCAAGGTTACTATCAGAAAATTAGTATATTAGTTTTATAATATATGTCCACTACTTCTTTTCAGCATTTTTTTTTTTTTTTTTTTTTTAACAACTAAACTGCCTTAAAAAAAAAAAAAAAAAAAAACTGACTTTGGGCATCATATTCACTAGTGAAAAATTCACAATCACACCTTACAATATCTGCATACTAATGGAAGTCCGCTGACTTGATGAGAAATGACAAAGGATGAAACTCATCATAACAAGTCCATAATTTAACCGAAGACATCCAATATCTTGTGAGACGTAGACATCGAGGGCGACATTTGATTTTTTAGATCGATTTGATAATACATCAATTTCGTTTGCTTGACATTTTCCAACTCTATTACTTGGTAATTGACATGTTTATCATTCATACGTACCTCCAGGATAATGCCATACTTATGAGGCCAGCTTTTATGAATATACTTAAGTTTGAAATCTGACAATATAAAATACATGCCCAATTTTTAATGGCAACCATCCATATTCTTTGAAACTTACAGCAAGCAATGCAATCTTTGATATGAATCATAATTTCACTTTCATCTATATTATTTATTTTTACATCATATTCAGCGCCGGTGACAAGCCAGTTTTGTTTGCTTTAATAGGCGCTTTAAAAATGTGTATTATTATTATTATTATTATATTCTAGAAGCATCTAGCAAGCATAGATAAATGGGATCTGTGTGTGTCTATGCCAAATTCATGAGGTTAGGATAGGTTAGGACCATTTGGGTTCATTAATGGCTATACAACATGGTGATCTCTTCATTAGGATCGGGGAGTGAAGAGCTGATCTTTTCTTAAAACCCTTACACTCAATGTCGTAGCCAGCTTTTGGGACAGTTGAGATAGTCACACACAATATTTCTAATGGGTCCACACTTTAAAAAATAAGTCCAAACTATGCAGTTTTATGAATAACTTGAGTCCACTTTTTGAATAATGGGTCCAGATTTCTCATACTTTGCCTGAAATGTGTGAACTTTTAGGAAAATGGTCCAAATTTTTCATATTTTTTGCGTAAAATGCTTTTAACTTCAGAGAAAATGGGTCCACATTATTTGGATTAACGCATAAAGTGGGTCCACTCTGATAATGTCCCGTGTTTGAAAATACTGGCTAAGGCATTACTTACACTATAAACTGGAAGCGTGTTTATTACATCTTTTAAAACCTTTACCCTAAAACCTGAAAGCGTGTTTGTTCTAGGCTTGGGGAGTGGAGGGCTAATCTTTTAAAACTCTTACCCTATAACCGGGAAGTGTGTTTATTAGGTGTGAGGAGTGGATAGCTCATCTTTTAAAACCCTTACATTATAACCTGGAAGTGTGTTTATTTAGGCTTGGGGAGTGTAGGGCTAATCTTTAAAACCCTTTACACTATAACCTGGAAACGTGTTTATTAGGCATGGGGAGTGGAGAGCTCATCATTTGGGACCCTTAAAGGTTTTATGAGGTTTGAGTAGGTGTACTTTTTATGAGGAAAATCGTGACATTACTTTCAAAGAATTGAAGATCAGATGTCATTCCCCAGTAGGCAATGGTATGTGTTTAAAATGCGAGTTGTTATTGGCGGACCGAATTTTGGACAAGCCTACGCACAATTACCAAATTTATATTTGATATTAATGCTTACGGTAATGTCAACCGAGAGAAGCATGACTTCTAGGTTGGTCCTCATCAAATGCCTTGTTTTATATGTATATTTTAGCCATGATGAAATAAATGTTTTGATGATCTGATTTGATGTGATACAGTACAACACGTACATAATTCTGAAAAGAACTATTGTTTGTTGAGAATATCTTCAGTATATATGGCTGGAAATAATTTCATCCATTGCCATTGTTAAACCAATTTCGATCATAAGCTTTTAATATTCAATAATTTATGCAGTAGGACAACCTTACATTTATAATGAGTTGAAATTGCATAAAATACAGTTAGTTATGACAGCTAATAAAACAACAAAGCAAATGGCATTCAGGGTTTTATTGCTGTAAACTACTAAAATCAATAATATATCGTATTTTTTGGGGGGCATTTATTAGTGAATACCGTCAAAACAGGTTACTGCATGATCATAAAGACATATTGATCCAAGCCTGGTCAGAAAAAATGTAATTCTACCTGAGAAAAACATTAATAGAATGTTTTGAGAATGATGTTACTTTCATTAGATTTGTTTACAGTCATTTAAAGGGGGCTCTTATACACATCGGGGGGGCAGAGGTTTATTTTAAGGAAAAAATTGAGGGAAGTGTTTATTCAAAATGATGCTCCGAAGGGGTGAGCGTTTATTCAAAGCGAGGATATTTATTCCAATAAATATGGTACTGTAAAATAATAGAAAATCTAGTTGCTTATACTGTAGCTCTGCAAGTTTATAGCGATTACCTTTAATTATTTGATAAAAAAAAAATACTTAAAATATAAATCAATGTTGTTGAAGAACTTGGTAAAAAGACAGCACATAAAAAACACATTAATATTCTTGCCTCTAGATATTTCTCTGAAAACCGAATCCTGATTTCATGTTACGGTTTTCAAATTACTGGTAACAATTTGTCAATATATCATAAGTTTTAACAGCTATCTGCAATATCCAGGCAACATTGAGGCTTTGTAATATACTGCCATAAATCAGGGATGATATTTTAACAGGTGAGCCATCAACTTCATCAAACATATATTTTTATAGCAACCATGTTTCAACTATGTAAGTCAAAGTTGGAGTGTCAATCACTGATTTGTCATCTAAAGAAGTTTAGGTGACACTGGCGGAACTGAAGATACATTTGTAGCTCAGCCACCATCAATTTAATATCACCAATAAAGCATTCCATATAATATAGTTTACATATAATCAATAATATGTGCACAAATATAAATCAATAATAATTGATAATTTGCTTACCCTTCCTTCACTTTTCCAATAAATGAAGAAGCCATACTCATCCACCTTATATATACAGTTCTGCTCAATTGATCCTGAATCCTATCAAAAAAAAAAAGTGAGAGAAATTTACCAATTGCAGAGAGGAAGAGTTAGACAAATTATTAACAAGTGGCAGATTTAACCATCACTGAGAATGGCAAATTCAGTCATCAGTATTAGAGTTGTAGATTCAGGAATCACTACTGTAGGAGTAACCCTAAACCCAATAAAAAAAAAAAAAAAAAAAAAAAATAGACTCGACCATCACAAAGTGAGAGAAATTTACTAATTGCAGAGAGGAAGAGTTAGACAAATTATTAACAAGTGGCAGATTTAGCCATCACTGGGAATGGCAAATTCAGTATCACTATTAGAGTTGTAGATCTGTCTCTTCTACACATCTAGATGTGTATAAGAGACAGCTTTTAGGAAAATGGTCCAAATTTTTCATATTTTTTGCGTAAAATGCTTTTAACTTCAGAGAAAATGGGTCCACATTATTTGGATTAACGCATAAAGTGGGTCCACTCTGATAATGTCCCGGGTTTGAAAATACTGGCTAAGGCATTACTTACACTATAAACTGGAAGCGTATTTATTACATCTTTTAAAACCCTTACCCTAAAACCTGAAAGCGTGTTTGTTCTAGGCTTGGGGAGTGGAGGACTAATCTTTTAAAACTCTTACCCTATAACCGGGAAGTGTGTTTATTAGGTGTGGGGAGTGGCTATCTCATCTTTTAAAACCCTTACATTATAACCTGGAAGCGTGTTTATTTAGGCTTGGGGAGTGTAGGGCTAATCTTTTAAAACCCTTTACCCTATAACCTGGAAACGTGTTTATTAGGCATGGGGAGTGGAGAGCTCATCATTTGGGACCCTTAAAGGTTTTATGAGGTTTGAGTAGGTGTATTTTTTATGAGGAAAATCGTGACATTACTTTCTAAGAATTGAAGATCAGATATCATTCCCCAGTAGGCAATGATATGCATTTAAAATGCGAGTTGTTATTGGCGGACCGAATTTTGGACAAGCCTACGCACAATTACCAAATTTATATTTGATATTAATGCTTACGGTAATGTCAACCGAGAGAAGCATGACTTCTAGGTTGGTCCTCATCAAATGCCTTGTTTTATATGTATATTTTAGCCATGATGAAATAAATGTTTTGATGATCTGATTTGATGTGATACAGTACAACACGTACATAGTTCTGAAAAGAACTATTGTTTGTTGAGAATATCTCCAGTATATATGGCTGGAAATGATTTCATCCATTGCCATTGTTAAACCAATTTCGATCATAAGCTTTTAATATTCAATAATTTATGCAGTAGGACAACCTTACATTTATAATGAGTTGAAATTGCATAAAATACAGTTAGTTATGACAGCTAATAAAACAACAAAGCAAATGGCATTCAGGGTTTTATTGCTGCAAACTACTAAAATCTATAATATACCATATTTTTTTGGGGGCATTTATTAGTGGATACCATCAAAACGGGTTACTGCATGATCCTAAAGACATATTGATCCAAGCCTGGTCAGAAAAAATGTAATTCTACCTGAGAAAAACATTAATAGAATGTTTTGAGAATGATGTTACTTTCATTAGATTTGTTTACAGTCATTTAAAGGGGGGGGGGGGGCAGGGGTTTATTTCAAGGAAAAAATTGAGGGAAGTGTTTATTCCAAATGATGCTCTGAAGGGGTGAGCGTTTATTCAAAGTGAGGATATTTATTCCAATAAATATGGTACTGTAAAATAATAGAAAATCTAGTGGCTTATAGCTCTGCAAGTTTATAGAGGTTACCTTTAATTATTTGATAAAAAAAATACTTAAAATATAAATCAATGTTATTGAAGAACTTGGTAAAAAGACAGCACATAAAAAACACATTAGTATTCTTGCCTCTAGATATTTCTCTGAAAACCGAATCCTGATTTCAAGTTATGGTTTTCAAATTACTGGTAACAATTTGTCAATATATCACAAGTTTTAACAGCTATCTGCAATATCTAGGCAACATTGAGGCTTTGTAATATACTGCCATAAATCAGGGATGATATTTTAACAGGTGAGCCATCAACTTCATCAAACAAATATTTTATAGCAACCATGTTTCAACTATGTAAGTCAAAGGTGGAGTGTCAATCACTGATTTGTCATCTGAAGAAGTTGAGGTGACACTGGTGGAACTGAAGATACATTTGTAGCTCAGTCACCATCAATTTAATATCACCAATAAAGCATTCCATATAATATAGTTTACATATAATCAATAATATGTGCACAATTATAAATCAATAATAATCGATAATTTGCTTACCCTTCCTTCACTTTTCCAATAAATGAAGAAGCCATACTCATCCACCTTATATATACAGTTCTGCTCAATTGATCCTGAATCCTATCAAAAAAAAAAAAAAAAAAAAAAATAGACTCGACCATCACAAAGTGAGAGAAATTTACTAATTGCAGAGAGGAAGAGTTAGACAAATTATTAACAAGTGGCAGATTTAGCCATCACTGGGAATGGCAAATTCAGTATCACTATTAGAGTTGTAGATTCAGGAATCACTACTGCAGGAGTAAGAAATTTACTCATCACTAGAAGAGGCATATTTAGCCATCATTATTAAGAGTGGCAAATTCTGCCATCACTTGGGATGGCAGAATCAGACATCTCTAGGAGTTGCGGATTCAGCAACCACTGAGAGTGGCAGATTCAGACATAACTGCTTGTGGCAGATTCTGCCATCACTCGGGATGACAGAATCAGGCATCCCCAGGAGTTGCAGATTCAGCCATCACTGGAATGGCAGATTCAAACATCATTAGGAGTGACAGAGTTGGACATCACTTGGAGTGGCAGAGTAAGACACCACTTGGAATGGCAGACTCAGCCATTAGAGAAGCCTGAAATAACTATCACTAGGGGGAGGTTACAGATTCAGCGATCACTGGGAGTCAACCATACAATTACAAGAGATAGATTCATTCATTATGAGGAGTTGTAGATCCAACCATCACTAGGAATCAAAGATTTACAGGTACGTTTAGTCATTACTATACTAGGGGAAGATCCACCAATTATTAGGGATGAAAGATTTATAAATCATTGAGATGGATGTAACTAACGATTAATTTTTAAAAAGGTCAGTGTAATATTCAATTGAGCAGAATTTTGATTCATAATAAACACTACAATTAGTAAGTTAACTTATTGGTTTAATATTCAGATTAGTAAACTGTACAATAATTGTAAATGATCATGATTATAATAACATGGAAATTTATATAGCATCATCTAGGCCACCAAGGTACAATATAAATGGCGCTATGCATGTTAAATATTAGTTTATTGGTAGACAAAAAAAAAGTTTTTATTAATTTCCTAAAACAAAGACCATACTAGAATCTGTACTGAATGGAAGTGGCAAAAGAATAATGTTTTAATGTTTAAAGGTATTAAACCACAAGTCCAATTATCACAGTGATTTGCATTTTTGTGTAATTATCTCCCTATTTGGCACCAGCATTTCTATCCAATTAAATCTCAATGTAACAGTTATTGGGACTAAATTAGGTATCGTCTGGCAACCAATTCGTATTCTGGCAACATTTTTACACTGATCTAGGCTATAAGAGCCACTGGCATATTTGTACTAGTAGCTTTAGCTATGGCATTACTAATGAGATTGAATTGCATCGCTTTAATATTCCATGATTCATAGCTTCTGAAATAATCAGGTTTTTATATACAATAACATTCTTCTTCTCTTATACTAATTATATAGAGACTCACGAAGCTACAATAACTATCGGATTCATCAGGATGAAGCACTCTCACAACAGACTGTTTAAATAAATAAGTAAACCCACTTGCTAGAAATCATATTAGTTAAAGTTATATCAACATATGGGAAAGCAATTTAATAAACAGAGATTAATACGGGCAGACACGACAAAGTATTACTTACACTAATTTCAACTCCAATCAAGACACGGTATGCATATATACAATATCAAATCTACCACGGCCAAAATCTTTCAAAAATCTGATTTAAATTTGCTTCTTGTTCTTTAGTTCTTCATATAATTTTTATTTTCATTTAAATATTGTTTTACATTTTTTAAAATTTCAGTTTTTGTTATCTGGACCATAAGGAAGAACAATGCCCCTACATTGATTTGGTATCTACAAAAAAGAGCGATTTTTAACGAAAACCATTATTATTTATATTCTATTTTTCATTTGATATATTTTTTATTGTTATAAAATAAGAAAAAATAGCAAAGGATAGAGAAAAAGGCTCGAGAAAAAGGCTCAAAGAAACCAAAGTAAAGGAAAAAAACAACAGAATCACATAAATCACTGCCGCTTTTGGTCTCCTTTGCCATACCATACTATTTTCACTGATGACAACACGCCAATTCGCATATCCAGGGTCAATGAACTTTACTGTAGGTTGTGTGTTGCTTGTTGGTATTGATTGACCTTAACACGAGCATGTGCGGTTTGAACTACAACTTGGCTTTAATTTTCTAGCTCCAGTAAATGTTCCAATAAGTGCTGTTCTCAAAATAAACACAGCACCAAAACACTATTTTTTTTTTCACTACTGTATTAAATTTGGTATGGAGTACCTGTAAGTGTCACTCTTGAATAAGGGTCACAAAGTTCATTAGAGATACATTCAATAATGAAAACATAATGAGAGTAAACACTTAATGTGCATTGGGGTTTCGCACCATTGGGACATTATTAAATAACTGATTTCTCACAGATTAAATAGTGTAATACCAGCTTTGTTAAATAGGCCTATGTAAAATGCATGGTACTACTTCAGCATTCAAATCCCATGATGTAATGAAGAGCAAACTAACAACTTTCTTACTACCATACCTGCAAAAAACAAATGGGTAAAATGTGGACCTACAGGCTATAAACTTGGTTTTATCCCTAAAGTAGAAGAAGAATTAATGCATGAACATAAGTATAGCCATTGTCAAGACATGCAGGGATAGTATATTTTCATAGGGATGATAAGATTAATAATAAAATAATAATAATAATAATTTATAAAGCACCAATATCACTAAAGTTATGTAAAAATCAAAGGTGCTATGCATGTTTAAATCTTAAAATGGTGTGTTTTGAGTTTTGGTCTTAAAAATAGCAACTGAAAATTTCGGCAATATGTTTAAGCATGAAGTTCCAAAGAGTGCCAGCTAAAAAATAAAAATGATCTATAGCCATAAGGTTTGGTGTTAACTTCAGGAACAATAAGTAAATTAAGTTTAGCAGAAGGGAGGGAGGAGGATAAGGAGACATATTTAGGAAAGAGACCAAGTAGGTAAGTGGGTTATTGGAGTTGCAACGCTTCAAATATTAGAAGAATTTTATACTTTATTTATGAGTTAATGGGAAAGTGTAAATTAGGCTATAGATAATAGGAGATATACCAAATTATCCATGAACACAGGAATATCCATCCACGACCAGCTTAAATTTGTAACAGACATAAGGAAGATACAAGAAAATTTATCTAACTGCATAATGTGATGAATACATCTCTTTTTGAAATTGACAACAGGTGATTTGTATTGATCAGACAAGGTGTGTCGATACATTCCAGGTTTTACCATAATTACAGTATAAAAAATTACATAAAAGGAATTGCGGAAGTACAAAGAACTGAATGAGAACTGCCACCTGATACATAGTACCAGGATGAGTAAAATAGAGAAAGAAAAATGTCAACGAACATGAAACAAATGAGAATGTTGAGACACCTGGAGTTAATTGTATTGAAATATCACATGATGCATCATCATGTCATTTAAAATGTGATGAGCATGGTATTATCATACATCAACCTCATTTTTTACCACTGATGTTCATGGTTATGTCGTAGACGGGATTGGAATAAATAGTTCTCTATGTCTTGTTGATTCTTATGCCAGCGGCGTGGAGATGAGGCAGGGCGTTACACGGTAGCCGTGAGTCTACATTCCTTGCATAACATCAAGTATGTTACGCTTTGCAGGACTATGTGATTAAATGACAGCTATCAAGCTACAACATATATTGCAGAACCAGAAAGTGGCGGAATAGATAATTACTCACCCCCGGCAGCAGCCGAAAAATCTAACCATGTGCGCATCATTTAGATTAGATATTAAAATGGCTGACAAAAATCCAGAGCTCCTTGGGAGTATATCTTTCAGGACTTCCTCAATGGACCTCTTAGGAGTGATAATCAAACTTGAATAACCAATCAGAAGACACATATGTCCCACAAATGCAAAGTGGAGGCTTAGCAGAAAGTTCCATTAGGTATGGAAACATCACAACTCTTTTACTCAGACCATAAGTTTCGTCACTCTGGACAAACTCTTCATTGTCACGAGCTGATTTTGCCACTGATTAAAATACCTGCCACCATTTATTGCCCTCAAATGGTTTTCTATTTTGTTTCATACAAACTTACAGTACTTGTATTGCATTCCCCCCATCCCACCCCCAAATTCTGATTACATCAACATCTTGACAAAATTATTGGGGTACTATGGTATGCATTATTTATTATATACTGGAAAAAATACATATTCATAATTATACAATTAAAACCAACTACACACAGTAAAAAATTACTGGTTATTTGGGTTGCCATAGTTACCAGGTATCATTACTTATTATAGCAAAATACATTTTGCATATTGAGCCTACCTGACCCCAATTAGCACCCAAAAGATACAATAGTGACAATATATTAAGTACACAAATATAAAATTAAAACATTATAAACTCATCATCACTTTTCATCATCTATTCTAATTCAGCCAAATCCATATGAAGTTGTTTAATCTCATAGTCAATATGAACATGATCAGATACTTTGGGATTCCATAGTTACCAGGTTTTGAAATTAATGTTTACATGGTTACCAACTTCAGAGATTTGAAGAGTGACTCTACTGCACCAGTTGGCTTGAGGGGGGAAGAGGGGGAGAGGAGGCAGACTTTAATAAAGCCATGTACAATTTGCATTTCAATGTATGTTTGAGCACCTAAACTGATCAATTTTTAGTTAACGCGTCAGTGAAGTAAGTATTCATGTAAATACTGTACGTACTTACCTGACTGCGTGCATGTTTGATGCTACCTGACAACTGCAGTTTAACTCACTGCATGACTGTTTTTAAACCAAAACCAATTTCTTCTCATTTTAAATACATTTTAACCTGAGTTTGTGATAATTCGCATGACAAATTTATGATCACACGTGTTACTGCAAAATTTGTGTTTCATCCAAAATCACTTTGAAATGCAGGACCGTCCCGTATAATGCAAGATGGTTGGTAACTATGTGTTTATAATAACCATGGCAAATAAAAACCATAC